ATATTTACTTCACAAAGTGATAACCCCAATAAGTCTGACCCATCTGACACTGTACATAGTTATTACAATAGTTTAGTGTCACTTTCAATGTCTTTGAGTTCATGATAGTGACTACGAGGCAAAGGATGGAACATAAGATAAAATTAAAGGAATATTAAAAATCTTAATTTTGTTTTACATGTAGATTGAAAGGTATGGATTCCCTTCTGATCTTAGCCTTTCACCTCAAGAAACCATCCAGCTTTATGACACCATGTTTCAATTCTGGCAAAGTTGGCCCAGGGCCCAGGTAAATAATAATTGTGCAATTAATTTGAATTAATTATATTATAGTGGATGGTGAAATTGCTGTTCAGAAAGACAAACTCTCACCCTTTCTAATCACTTGCATCTGATCTTTTAAAATTATCAATGGGCTCTTTCCAAAATATAATACCCCTTCTCAGACATTTTTCTTTCTAACATTTTATGTTTTACTTTAATGGGATGGAATGTCACTGAATTCCTGAAAATATTTCTTCTTTCAATTTCTGAGACACTAATGCTTTAGTCTGTTCTTACATCCTGGATTTATATTCCTCCATTTTCGTGCACTGTACTCCCCTCCTTTCTCTATGCCGCAATTCCTGTCTATTTTCATCTTTTTATCTATTTGGCTTTGCTCTGCATTCTTAACTTTGAAGAGTTCATCTATCCAATTAGGTGTATGTACTAAAACTATGGGGAGATAAAAAGAAGTTAAACTGTCTGTATACTCTTAAGAAGCTTGTAATTCTGTTAATGAAAAGCAAAATTGAAAAACATCTTTGGATTTTCTTGGTTGATTTTATTTAATTTTGTGGTATTTCTTTTCCAGGAGTTGTGTCCAGAGAAATTCATTCATTTTAAGAATAAAATAGTCATTAAAAAGTTGGATGCCAGAAAGTATGAAGAGAGCTTAAAGGCAGAATTAACAAGTTGGATTAAAAATGGCAATGCAGAGGAGGTAATGTTCACATGTTTTTGGAGAAGCATGCTATCTTTGTTGTTTTCTTGAGTTGCGTTTTTCAGTCATTACTATTTTCTGTTTGTTTTTTTAATCTTTAATTTTCATTTTAGAGTTTTAAGCTGAATGTGAAGTCTAGTGATTCTGAGATAGAATAAAAAGAGAGAAAGGAAATTGGTCTTTGTCTCATCCTCTGTGCCTCCTAAATCACATGCCAGAAGCTACTGGTTCCTGCTAGATGTTACAACAGATTAGAACAGAGGTGTCACTACCCAGAGAGTTAGTGTTCTTGATGCTGTGGCAATATAGAGTTTGGAATCACAGTAATAGTAGCTGAAAAGAATTTTCACTCCTTTTTTTTGTTTTTTCTTTTTGTCTTGGATTTTTTTTTCCTTTTGTGATTTTTATTTCAATTTGTATAAACTATTTGTATATTAAAACTTTAACCAAGGGTCATATAAGTTATGCATATTTATTTTAAGTAAATTGATGGTCTTATTTTCAAGTTTGCTTTATTGACACATTGAGGTTTCTGATTTTGGCGGAGTGACATGTTAGAGTTTTTTCATGTAATTTTTAAAAAAATATATATTTTAATTTAGATACCTCCTCCCATTGAGAAATATAATGCAATTTACGTACATTTTCTTCTGCTTATTTTGTCAATCATCTTTAAAATGTATTTGGAAATGATCTTTTATAGTTAACATGGAGAAAAACTGACTTACCCTACTTTCTGCCACAGTGAAATCAGCATTATTTACTGAATGATCCTCTTCCTGACTGATTTGTGTTCTGTTAAAAAATTGCACGTTAAATTGCATATAAATATATGTTACTATCTTTATGCTGTCTAGCATATTATTTGTGTATTTCCTTGATGGTTCTTTGCAAAGTTTTATATCTCATTAGTTTTATCATATATATTATTTTAAAGAATCAGAGAAACATAGACCAGACTTTTATCACGTGAAATTTTAAAATATATTGTAACTTAGATATTTCCTTCTATTCAGAAATATAATACAATTTACTTACATTATAGCCAAAAGTTGTAATTCCTTTATTATGCAGAACTTAAAACAAATAATATTTTATTTGTTGCTATAGGCCAAAAGAGTCCTGAGTAATCTTAGACCCAATTCGGTTTTTAATTCATTAAACATGGAAAGCATGTTCCCACTTCTCGTTGAAAAGCTAAGAAAAATGGAAAAGTTACCAGCGATATTTTTTTTGTAAGTCATTTAAGTTATTTTGTTTTTATTTGTAATTAGTTAGATTAATTCCTTTGAGTTGAAGTAAGTTTTACTAATTTACTTGTTGTAATACAATATTTCTTAACTAGTTTTGGTGCCCTATTGTTGTCAGAATGCATATTAAAGAATATACCTTTCTAGTTTAATTCTTTTTTTGTTTGTTTGTTTGTTTTGTTTTTTTGCACAGTTGGCCTGTAATCACTTACTGGTATAGAGTAAGCATACCTTACTTCAAAAAATGCAGCTTGATAAAAAAAAAAATTAGAAAATATGATGTAAATAAGATTATCTTTATCAAAGTAACAAAACACATAAAATATCTAAGAAATTAAGTTAATAAATATACACAATTTAAGTGAAATAATATCAAATTCTACTAAGGGACATAAAGATTAGAATAAAAAGAGAAAACCACATGTTATTCCTGAATCAACATGCATTTTTTAAACTAAAGATTTCCTCTATGTCTCTGAAACTATTTCTGTTTATATTGCTTATTTATTCAGTTCTTTAGATTCCACATATAAGTGAGATCATATGGTATTTGTCTTTCTCTGACTTATTTCACTTAGCATAATGTTCTCTAGGTCCATCCATATTGTTGCTAAAGGTAAGATTTCATTCTTCTTTATAGCTGAGTAATACTGCATTGTGTAAATGTACCACAGTTTCTTAATCCAGTCGTCTACTGAAGGGCATTTCAGTTGTTTCCAAGTCTTGGCTATTGTAAATAGTGCTGTAATAAACATAGGGGTGCATATATATTTTTTTGAATTAGCATCTTGGGTTTCTCTGGATAGATACCCAAGAGTGGAATTGCTGGGTCATAAGGTAGTTCCATTTCCAGTTTTTTGAGATACCTCTCATATCCACTGTCCATTTTTTAATTGGGTTTTTTTTTTTTTGGTGTTGAGTCACATGAGTGTTTTATAAGTTTTGGATATTAACCCCTTATCAGATATATCGTTGGCGAATATCTTCTCCCATTCAGTAGGCTGCCTTTTTGTTTTATTAATGGTTTCCTTTGCTGTGAAAAAACTTTTAAGTTTGATGTAATCCCATATGTTTATTTTTTTTTTTACTTCCCTTGCCCGCGGGGATATATCAGTAAAAATATTGCTCAGGGTAATGTCTGTAAATTTACTGCTTATGTTTTCTTCTAAGAGTTTTATGGTTTCGGGTCTTACATTTAAGTCTT